AATAGTCACGGGAAGACGGCATATTCCAGAAATGGGGATAGAAGAACTTGGGGGAAACATGTACATATTAAAATTATAAAGATATATTTATAAATATGCTATATAAACATATATAAAAAAAATATTTATATATAAATTATTTTTATATATTTTCAGACAAACATATTCAAGATAAATTTTACTACAACTATCAATTTGATATTGATCATTAAATCGTGTAAATAATTAGAGAATCAATAAAAATTTTTTTTTGAATATTTGGTAATTAAACATGTTTCTAAAAATTGTAACATGACCCATAAGGTGTCCGACAAGTATCCTTGACTCTTGAGTGTCCGACACAAAACATGTCCAAAACAGAAAAACGTTAAGAAGTTGAAGTTCTCGTACTACATAGCATATAAATGATTTATTTGGGGATTGGAATAACTAATGATCCATAAACTAGGGTTTGTTCTATGTTGGATCCGGTAAACTGACCAGTCAAGTTACATTCTATTGTGCACGTGTATAGATTCATACATATTTTACACACATTCAAAAATAAAATCATTATATATAAAATCATAGTTTAAGCAAGTAAATAAATAAAAAGGAAAAGGACCAATAACCAATAGATGTGAAAATTCTCCAAAATAGTGGATACACAAAGGCATATGCGTCACATATCAACTAATTGCATGGTATAATTGTAATCTATAAATATATTCTTTACAATGGTGGGGATTCCATTTATATCAATATTCAATAACATCATCTCATTATTCTCCCTAACTCTAACTATAAATATAATCCCATCTCTTCACCAAAACACCATTCTCCAACTTATTCATTTCTCTAAGGTAATCTACTACACTAATCTTCATATTTGCTAATTGTTCTCATTTTTTTTTCTTTTTTTTTTCTCTATTTTGTTTTGCACGTAATTCGTTTTTTTCGTTAATTATTGTTGTAACTAATTATAAAAGGGTTTTCAAACAATTGTTTTTCTTTTTTACCAGGAACTGGTTCACTTGTGTATACTGAAAAATGGAAGCAGCAAGATCCAGTCGTACTGTGTACGAGTGTCTGCTCTTCGGTACGTTAAATAATCCTCCTCGATTTATATTCTTTTGGGCCATAACCAAATTAAAAATAATTAATTTAGAAGTCGAAAATTTATATTTGATTAATTCAATATTGCATTTATTTTTGTTAGATATGGATGATACCCTGTATCCTTTGAGCTTGGGTATAAACATGGCTTGTCGCAAGAACATAGAAGGTATATATTGACTTTTTTCAATATACTATCACTATATATTCCACTAATTGCATTATTTAGATTATATGATAATTGATTATTGATGAATGATTTGTCTTAATTAATTTAATTTGCAGAGTACATGTTGAATCACTTGCATATTGAAGAAAGTGAAGTTCCTAGGATGTGCTTGGAGTTGTACAAGGAACATGGTACAACAATGGCTGGTCTTAAGGTATTTAATAAATTAAATAATCCAAGCTAGATGGACTTAATTTTCGTACTAACGTTTCCGTTTTCGTTTTCGTTTTCGTTTTGAATCGCAGACACTTGGATACGAATTTGACGACGATCAATTCCATGCTGAAGTTCATGGAGCGTTGCCATATGAGTTGCTGAAACCTGATCCAGTCCTGCGTAATCTCCTACTCTCCATGCCCCAACAGAAAATAGTACGTCGGGATTTATATAACATTTTAAAATATTTCTATCTAATTTTTCGAAAACATGTGTTAAATGCGTACTATTTTTTTTTTCTTTTTCCCCGGCAGATCTTCACGAATGCAGACGAAGCACATGTGGCACAAGTGCTAAGTAGGATGGGTTTGGAGGATTGCTTCCAAGGTGTTATATGCTTTGAAACACTTAACCCTCCTTCGGAAACGAAAAGGACAACAGTTCTATGCAAGCCTTCCGTGGAAGCAATGGAAGCCGCTATTCGCATTGCAAACGTTGATCCTAAGAAAACAGTTAGTAAACACAAACAAAACCTAGTCAACATATTTTATTACTTGTACAGAAAACATCAGATGATAAGATTTTTTTTTTTCGCAGATATTCTTTGATGACAGCATTCGCAACATTGCCAGTGGAAAAGCTGCTGGGCTTCAAACTGTAATCGTAAGTACAAAACATTTTTCATCATATTTAAAAAAATAAAACACTCCCACATTTTTTTAATCATATTGAATACGTAAAATATAGGTCGGGCGATCGACTTTGGTTCCAGGTGCAGATCATGCTTTGAACAGTATACATAATATCAGAGAAGCATTGCCCGAGATATGGGAAGACGAAGGAGAGCATTTGGAGCAAATAATTCAGTCATCTGCGGTGGAAACTGTTGTCCTAGCTTAGACACATTAGCTTTCATAGGTAACGGGGACAACGTCGTCAATGAACTGAAGGGAGACTACTTAATTACCAGATATATGCTATAAATTAAAGTAATGCTTATTGATTAATAAAATTTCACACTAGATGAGATTGGCTTGTGAACAGGATCAGTGCTAAAGTAAAATACTTCTACTGTTCATATGTCCTTTGTTATCAATGTAGCTAAAATAAGTTTGTTGTAAGCAATAATAGTTGCAGTACTATTGTACTATTGTACAAGTACCACTATGCAGTACAAGAATCATAATAATATGCCATGTCATCAGAAAAATTAAGATGCATTTTCGTCACTTTTTTGTCGGGAAAAAAATGTGGTATGATGGTTGAAAAAGTGTTCCAAAACGATCAAATTTCGGACGACAAAGTGCCATTTACCCATACAAGAATCCTTAACTCTTAGTTCGAACTATAATCCGGTCATTGTGGTTGAAATACACTTCACACTGTCATTTGAAATCCTTATATTAAATCCGAACACTTTGAGCATCTAATGCAAACTTCGTAAACTGATAAAGAATCCAAAACTAGTCATACAAAACGAGTACGAACTTGAAAGCCTGATTGAAGGGTCTTAACTTTCATTCGACAAAATACCAGAGTCGCTCAAAACATACACCATACTGAGAAGCATAATACCAAATTAAAGTCGTACTATTATTACTAATTATAGTGCAACAAGTGGTTGAATAGATCCAAAAAATTATGTACTGAAAACTTACAAAATGCTTCTCCGTTTTAGCCAGCATGGATGTTCTGGAGTAGATACTTAGCATTGTGTAAGAGAGCATCAATCTCCTCATTTGCAGCATCAAGTAATCGAAGTTCCTTAATCTCGTCCTGCCACTTCTCCATCTGTTCCTTATGTATTCTATCACCAAATTATAGTCACAGTTAGCATATATAGCAGATTCTCGTTTCCAGTCATTATTACATGCCAGTTCTAATTTACTTACAATATCATCCTTTCCTCAAATTCATTGGTCAGTTCCTTCAGCATTGACTTCCCTGATTCTAGCAGCTCTGACACCTTTACGAAATAATAATCATAAATATAGCATATTTCGAACAAAATTATCCCAGGAAAGATGCATCATGTACAAAGAATATTGGTATTTGAACAAGCTATCCATTTAAATTCGTGAATTCAACTGTTCAGACTTCAGACCAGTATTAACGTTATTTTTACCATTTGTGTGAAATTATTGATCTTCTCCAGAATTAGAGCAGTCTCCATTTCCACTTGTTCTGAATTTGAAGCTCTTGGCTCGTTTTCTTCCTCTGGAACATGTTCAATGGATCCATCTTCAACCATGGTCTCCTTATCCTGCATATGTTAATTATATCTTCGTTATTGGGATAATAGATTCGTAGTTCTGATTACTGTCTGATATATATTAATGACCAAAGAACATGCACAAGTGCAGAAGACATACAGAAAGTTTAGCGCGTTTTGTCATTCCATGGGCAGCTTCATTATCCATTTTTTCAAATGAAACTCGTAAATACTGGAGGAATGAATAACCAAAAATGATATCATCCTTCAGATATATCCTTATATGCACTAAAGCCGAAATAAACCAAAAACTTCACCGTGTTTTGGTGCAACGGAAACACAAATTTTGTAAGGGCAATTCTAAGGTTCTTGGTTTAGTTATTGGCCATAAAGCAACTAATAAGAAAAGGAATTACTGCTTGTTTCTCTTAATAGAAAGGAATGGCTACTTATTTTTCCTTTTTACTCAACACACATGTAGAAAGAAAGAACGATAAACCTATCTAAAAACTGATGTTACAAAAGTAAGGAACGAAACGATACGAAGCAATTAAAAAACCAATACAAGTCAGATTCCATACTCAGCACATCTTTAACTATGAATAAGGCAGTTCACAGATTTGCTTTATGACCAGTCGGCTTAGTTATATGCTGTAACAGGCTAAGATGCAGTTATTGAATCGACAAACAAAATGAATCGATACATAGTGATGTATCCAAAGATAGAAATCAGAGATTAAACAGCAGATCACATGGTTAAAGTACTTCAAATTAGAAAACCGGACAAAAGACTTGATCTACAAAATCATAAAGAAGTCTTTTAACACATATAACTAATAATCAGAAACAACGAATTTCTGTTGCGACCGACCGTAAAATTCATTTCGTTTAGGAATTTTATGAGCTTGCTCAGCATTTAATCACATACAACTACTAATCAGAGGATAGTTTAACAAGTTAGTTACTGAAATTGAGAAGAAAATATATACTATGATATTCAATCACACACTCCACAGCAACAATCGAACTATATACAGATGAAACCAGCTGAATAATAAAAATGTGGAGAAACGCACGAACTACATAATACCCAGGAATCATTTATCATTTATCAAATAAACATAAAATGCACAAATTAAATTCAGATTAGGTTATTTACCCCTTTGTGATGAAATTGCGCGGATACAGATCCAGAAAATGAATCCGACTATGAGTTTCCCTCTTCCGGAGCAGTTGAACTAAAATTCTGCAATTGATGAAGTGAAATACATAATCAGCAAAAAATTCAATTAAATTTCGAAATCAGCAAAAAATATGCAATTGATTAGAAACCTTATGATATCGCTTCATTGAATTCACCTTATCAATACATATTTCGACTAACCCAGACGATTATCAGTAATAAAATTCAGTTCGGCGTTAAAATGTTAATTTTGAAAATCGAGATTACCAGATCAAGCAGCAGCAGCACACTGCGTCACGGAATCAGAATGTGCGCGTACGTGCTTGTGTGTGTGTGTGTGTGAGAGAGAGAGAGAGAGAGAGAGAGAGAGAGAGAGAGCGCGAGCTCTGAGTAAGTGCGATGGCGAAAGTGGGTTTGGAAAATGGCGCCGATTCTCCAATTTTGTAGAAAACGTTTAAAGTACCTTTTTAGCCCCCATACTCTTAAAACATTGCACCTCTGCCCCCACACAATTTAAATTTACTCTTTATAAAGCACCACAATTTATGTTTATTATAAAGAGTAAATTACATTCAAGCCCTCAGGTATGGTTTAATTATGAAAAATCCCCTCACGTTTAGGTAATTACAACAACCGCTCAACTATGAATTTTCCTACACGTCCTCTCTTGTAGTGTCAAACTTAGTTGGAATTTTCTACATGATGTGGAATATTCTCCAGTTTGTATCCGTTTTATCTCATTCGAGCTTCACATTTTGAAACAAGATAATCATCAGATTTGTATTTTGACTTGTAAATATCAGATTGCGGTGCATAAAAAACTGCATTTCTGCATAAAACAAGTACAAACAAGAGAAAACTGCATTCCTGCATAAAATAAGTACGCATAAAACAAGTACAAACTAGAGAACATTCCACGAGATCTAGAAGATTATGTTGATTTTGACATCATAAGGATGGACATTTAAGAAAATTTATAATTGAGGGGTGATTGTAATTACCAAAATATGAGGAGATTTTTTTGTAATTTAATCTTACCTCAGCGGGTGGCCGTAATTTAACCTTGTTACATATTGATTGAACTAGAACTTTGATAAGACTAAATAATTGATTGATCCATATTACTCCTTGTGTAGTTTGTATTGAGGAACACTAATAACAACACTAATGGTATGACCAAGTTATTCAAAGTTTCAAACGGATGCATCAATATATAAAGAAATGTTGAGGAACTAAAATACAATAAAAATTCTAACTGCTATAGGTTTTATAACTATTGAAACATTGGACTAAAATGCCAAAGAAAGATAGCTAGAGACCAAAAAACGAAAAAAAAAACAAAAAAAATCCTAAACATGGATCCAAAAACAAGACTTCAAGACCATGCCATCCAATTACTAAATGTATTTGTGTAATTAGGTAGACTTAATCCAAGTGCTATAGTCCACTTGAGTGAGCCCATAAGCATCCTTGCTTGCAAAATCTCCCCCAACGGAGTGGTACATTCCGCTGCTCAACGAGAACCAAACTCCGTTTTTACCGTGAAATTTATTGAAGTATATCTTATTTGCCTTATCACTACCACCATCACAAACCTCCGCAAACGATCCATTGGGGCTAACATAGAGACATTTGTCACCTAAGCTTTCAACCTTGTTCCAACACTTTTCAGATAAATCAAATTTTAAAACTTCAACTTTCCGGTCATTGTTCATAACAAAAACACCCCATATTTCTCCATCCACTTGTACTACGTAAAACTCATGAGTTACTTCTTCCTCCTCATCTTCATCTTCATCTTCATCTTCGTCTTCATCTTCGTCTCCATCTTCGTCTCCATCTTCGTCTCCATCTTTTTTCTCGTCGTCGTCGTCACTATCTTCAATTGTTTGAGGGCAGTGACCACAAATTGTCCATGCATCGTTAGTGGGGTCATAAACTCTAAAGCTCCTACATTCACCATCCAAACAATAGTACAACCCATTGTGGAAAACCGGTGGACAATTTGCATACATAAAACCGTCATACAATTCTATTTTCCATTCTTCATCTCCAAATCTAATAAGACCATATTCAGTTTTATAAGAATTACTTGACCCGAATATTCCAAAAACAAAACAATCGGAGCAAGTGGTGGAGATGTGAAACACACCGAGTCGAACGGCTTTTCGGTGGGGGGGAGTTGAAATTTCTGCCTAGTCAAAGGATTGAAGAAAAATAAAGGGCCATTATTAACTTGTGACATGAGAAGCCATCCATAATTGGAGTAGAGAATCTCGGCATCTTTCAATTCAGGAAAATCCAAATAGCCGAATTCGTTGCGTAAAGAGTTGTAAAATTTCCATGAAGTATTGCTTCTCTGAGAATACATTAAACATGGCGAATCGAAAATTGGTTCGGGGGAGAACGGTGGATCAAGTTGCAAGACACGTAGACTTTCTTCCACCATGTTTTTGTAAACCAAAGAGCTAGAGAGAGGGTTTCTTGACGGAGAGTGGACGGAGTTGAAGAGTATAGGGGACCGCACCATTTTCCTCGACCCTTACGGAAGCAAGTCATGGTTGTTCACTAACAACGGTAGTGATGATGAAAACGATGACGTAAGAATGAAGAAAAACTCGATATATTACGTAGAGGGTGACAAAATTCTATATGTGTATGACATTGAGGATCGAAGCAGAACACTTGTTAAACTGCCTCCTGTTAAAAGGGACTGGTTGATGTCTTGGGTTGTTATGTAACCTAGCTTCCAATATTTAATTAGGATCTATTTTCATATATACACCTTTCGTATACTGGTTTATTTTTATTTTTTATTTGATAATTTTCTATACTGGGATTGATGATAAAAAAAAAATCAATTATTAATAAAATATTGATGTTTTATATTTATTACTTATTCTTTGGTATATAATATTTATTTAGTTCTAATTTATTTTTGGTTTTTATGCGATTCAGTTCCCAATATTTTGTATCAGAGATGTAATCCGTGTACAAAAACCTAAAATTGATCCATGTAACAAATTAAGTTTTTCTTATTTATTTATCTTAATTCCGAACCCTCAAAACGTACTGAGAACCATAATACCGGATTAATGCCATGCTAATATTACTACTGTTATAGTGCAACAAGTGGTTAAATATTAGATCCAAAAATTTATGTACTGAACTTACAAAATGCTTCTCCGTTTTAGCCAGCATATATTTAGCATTGTGTAAGAGAGCATCAGTCTCCTCATTTGCAGCATCAAGTAATCGGTAATCGAAGTTGCTTAATTTTGTCGTGCCACTTCTCCATCTGTTCCTTATGTATTCTGTCACCAAATTATAGTCACAGTTAGTATGTAGAGCAGATTCTCGTTTCCAGTAATTTTTACATATCCCAGTTTTAATTAAAACTTACAAGTTCATCCTTTCTTCAAATTCATTTGTCAGTTCCTTCAGCATTGACTTCCAGCAGCTCTGACACCTTCACAAAGTAATAATCACAAATACGGCATTATTTCGAACAGAAGTTGCATCAGGGAAGTCTACGCATCGACAAGTGATATGCAAGTATCGAATCGACAAACACAAAGAATCAACATATATTGATGTTTCGGAATTGGCATGGAAGAAAAAACAGATCACACAATCAAAGTACTCCAAAATGATTATAAGCTGATATACTGTAAACTGGACAAAATACTTTTAATCTAACAAATCAAAAGAAGCAGATTTATTTGAACACATATAACTAATAATCAGAAACAATAAGATTTCTGTTGCAAAGGCTAAATTCGTTTAGGAACGAAGATCGTTATCAGCTTGTTCATCATTTAATCACATACAACTAATAATCAGGAAATAATAGATCAATTACCGAAATCGAGAGCAGAAGATATATTCGTAGCCAATCACACACTTCACAACAACAATCCATCCAAATTATCAAAAAATAATACTAATAATAATAATAAAAAAAAACATCCAAATTCAGATAAACTGGAAACCAGCAAAATAATAAATTTGACGAGAAAATACAAATACAATATTCCAACTACATAATACCCAGGTACCATTTCAGAATAATCAAACAAACAAAAAAAAAAAATCAGCTCAAGCAATTTACCTCCCTGTGATGAAATTGGGGGATACAGAACCAAAAAATTAAGCCGAGTATCAGTTTCCCTCTTCCTAAGCTGTTGAACAAAAAATTGTGCAGAAAGTACAATTACGTTCACTATCAATTTTCAGATTAGAAACCTTTTGATATTGCTTCCTTCAATTCACCAAATCAATCCCTAATTTGACTGACTGAGTCGATTATCAGCAGAAGAAAAGAAAATCAATTCGGAGTACAATTGTAAATTTGAAATCGAGGTTACCAGATCAATCAGCAGCACACGTCACTGAACCAGAATATGCGACTGTGCGTGTGTATGATGAGAGAGAGAGAGGAGAGAGAGAGAGAGAGGTCTGAAAATGAATTGTTTTGAATAATGGCGCCGATTTTCCAATTTTGTTGAAAACGTTTAAAGCACCTTTTTAGCCCCAGGATTCTAAGATAATTGTATATCTGCCCCTCAACTTTTATGTTTTAATATGAATTGAATTAAACTAGGGGTTTTAAGATCATAAAGCTCTTTTGACTAGTTTCATATACCGGACAGTATGTAATATACTTTGGATATTGCACTTTCCCTTTTTTAAGTTTTGCTTATAATTAACTCTATGTCAGCAACTTTTGGAATACCATTTATTAAACGATTTTGTATTTTCTTTTTCTTCTCAATTTTATCTATACCTGTAACCGAACACCCCTTATTCATCATTCTAATATATAATTATAGTTCCCAAACATGTTCGAATCTTCCCAAAATTACGACAAGAAGTTGAAAAAAAATGTCATGCTCAACCTCTGCCCCTTTTCGCGCCATCGTAGCTCCGCCCATCTACATTGCTACCATTTTAACTCTGTGCCAAATGTCTGAAAAAATGGACGATGATAGTAAACAACCCTTGGTTGAAGTGCTAGGATGTTGTCGCCACCAGAATCATCAGTTTATTGTCACTGCAGTCAAGAATAATGGGACTCTGAAGGAACTTCTAGATAATGTAGAGCTACAGATCCCGATTCGTAGGTACTTTAGTACCTAACTGCACGTGAAAGACGGTATGTGTAGGTAACGAGCGACGAAGACGAGCATTTGATGGTGAATATTCATTTGTTATTAAAGATACACATCGTCGGCATTATTATTTCTCAAAAAGGCGATATTCATTGCCGTCGAAACAACCCCGACATAATCAGATAATTCTTCACTTCCTCATAAGTATGTAAACGAAATACATATATAGCGTGGTTTGTGGTCAATCCTTGGGTATTAATGAGCATGAGAAGCATTTCGTGTGTCCACATCCTTGTTATTGTATACTTATGTAACATATATCCTACGGACCGTGCTCGTACACCGTATGCGCGCCTTTAACTTTAGTATGGGAAGTGCGGAATCTATAGTATATTGATGTAACTCTTATCGTATGTATATGTTATCTGCACCATTTGAATATACGACTTCAATTGCGTATACATAGCATAACTTTACTATCGCTCGTACACGTTAATGATCCAATTTTTTAATTAGTTTTTGCCTTCTCTTTTTTCAAATTGAAATAATGAAGTAGTGGAGCATGTAGAATCCAATATTTTATCAGTCCAAAACTCAGTTGAGGCATGGAGAGACTATATTCATGGAAAATTGATTTCGTTAGTTAGTCAGTTAGGGCGGTAATAGGCACACACTTGATTCCGTTAGTACTAACGAAAATAACTAAAAATGTTGAATATTGAAATATGAGGGACCAAATGTATCTTTTGTGAATATAGGAGACCAAATGTGAAATTGCTACAAACTTGTGGGATGGAAACGGTATTTTTTTCCCCTTTAGTTTTGGATAAATCATTGAAACCCCTTTCAACTATGTGGTCTAATTACCTAAAAACCCTCATGTATTCATAATTACCAAAAACACCATCTAATTAAACGGTTGAACAAAATTAATAACAAAAATATGTCTAATGTCTATAATGCTCTTACGTTAATTGTTTTAAAAAATTCATAAAATTAGCTAAAACCCCTCAGGGCATGATCAAATTACCAAAAATCCGTCAAATATTCATAATTACTAAAAACCTTTATGTTTTTTTGGTAAACTCTGAGCTCATATATTTTTGTTCTAACAATTTTATCAATGACATTCCTACGATAATATTTCGACGGCTTTCAAATGATATTTTCAGTGATATTTATAATATCAATATAATTATATATTTTATATGGGAAAATACAGTTTGCACCTCTGAACTATATGGTTAGTCACAAACACCCCCTTAAACTACAAAATGCACCCTTGAACTATAGAGTTAGTCACAAACACCCCACCTTAAACCACAAAACCAACAAAATTTTCCCTATAGTTCAGGAGTGGAAATTGTACTTTCCTCTATAGTTAATGGCAAATTTACAAGAAACTCCTTGAGCTAAGGTCTAATTACGAAAATCCCCTCATGTTTGTATAATTACGAAAATCTCCCTGAGGTATGTTGTCGTTTTACATAGTCCCCCTAAGATGTTACTTTTGACGGAATCTTATTGATTCCATGAAATATTCATCTAAAAAAGTCGTTTTTGCTCTTGAGGGGTAATTGTAAGCATACTAATTACTAATTACTAATTTGTAATTACGCAAATATGGGGGGTATTTGTAATTAGGCCTTCCCTCAGAGGGGTTCTCGTAATTTACCCTCTATTCTTTTCAAATAACAGAATGGTGAAAAGGACAAAACACATTTTCTTTTGTAAAACACTGGTCATATGAGGATTTTCGTAATTATGTTCTACCTCAAAGGGTTTTTTCGTAATTTTCCCAAATAATAATTATCAAATTTCGATCCAAAAGTTCTGACTTTGGAACAAATTTTGTCATACAAAATTACAAAATTTTGATATCCGATTTTTCTTTTCGATCAAAATTAAAATTAGTTAAATCACTTCATTAAAAAAGAAAAAAAAAAAGAAAAAGAAAAGAAACTCCTAAACATATATCTTAACATAAATGGATAACTATAGGGATAATTACAGTTTTGGTCTCTCAAGTATGCATTTTTTCACTTTTGGCCCCCTATTTACCGCCGTCAACAAAATACACTTTAATGTTGTCATATTTTAACACATTGAGTAGATCCGTCTGTTTGACCGTCAAGAAGTAACAGTCAACGGTGAATTAGGGCTGAATTTGGGATTTTTGTTTGAGAAAATTGCAATAAGACCTGTATTATTTCAAAATATTCTAAAAAAACCCTAAAATTTTAGTCAATCCTAATTTAACCCCAATTTCACTAATTAAACAATTTTGACCAATGATCCCGATTTTTAACACCGTCACCGCTGACTGTTTTTTTTTTTTTTTTTTTTTGCAGCGGTAACTTTTTTTTTTATGACGTTCACCAACATTGGATTGCCGGTTAATAAATTTGACGTTTTTCTTTAATTCTTTTTTCCGATCAACACAATATTATTACTTTATAACACAATAATACTACTATATTAATATCTAGCACCGTAATATTAATTTTTCAAACTTCTAACAAAGTTTTTAGCTAGAAGTTTTGGACCAAAATACAATTTAAAAAATTACTAAAAATCCGTAATAATATTTCGGAGATAACCACTCCAGTACAATGGTTTTTGGGACCAACATTAGCCGTTGATTTTTTTTTCTTAGTTTAATTCCTGTCGTTGGGCGACGTTGACCTTTTTCTTTCTTTTATTTTGACATTTTTATGATATTATCTTTTCCGTCGGTTTTTGGTTTGATTTTTTTTTTAAATATATTTTTTTCAGTTTCTCAACAATTTAAAGAAAATTAAATTAAAAAAAAAAAGGTTAAAGCAATTAACACGACATTTAACATCGGTCAATGGCGGAAAAAGAAAATCAATCAAAAAAATTTATCCAGCGAAAAAGAAAGTCAACGTCGGAAAAAAAAAATCAACAAAAAAAAAAAAGATAACAGCGGTAAAAATTGGGGTCATTGGTCAAAATCGGTTAGTAGGTGAAATTGGGCTCGGGGTTTTTAAAAAGTTTAGGGGTTTTTACAAAGTTTTAAAATAATATAGGGCTCTTATTGCAATTTCCTCAAAGAAAAATCCCAAATTCACCCCTAATTGAACCGTTGACCGTTGCTTGTTAACGGTTAACCAGACAGAGGGACCCAATGTGTTAAAATTTGACAATGTTAGAGTGTATTTTGTTGACGGCGATAAATATGAGGCCAAAAGTAAAAAATGTGCAAACTTGGGGACCAAAACTGTGATTATTCTGATAACTATATATATTAAAACAACTTGCCACAAACAAGACTTCTTGTCAAGAACAACTATAAGCCCTAACCGAGAGAGAGAAAAATCTGCGACGCCTCTATGAAAAATTCATCAGGGTCTACAAATCAGAGGCTGACAAATTAAATCTTTTGGAGTAATTCATACGCAACATGAAAAGGGCAAAAGGAGAAGAAGACGGTTACAAATCCATGGACATAATATCGAGTTTGCCGCAAGAGATCTTGCAAAGAATACTGTATTTCCTCTCTCAAGAAGATGTTGTCCGAACCTCCGTCTTGTCCAAATCATGGCGCCACGTTTGGTGCACTCGTCCCAATCTTGTTTTTTCCGACCAAACCTTCAAAGGCAAGAAACAAGACTTTTTATCCACTGTGGACAAGACCATACAACGTTATCGTGATCAAAGGTTGTGCGTCGAGGAATTCGACCTTTGTATGTTGGTAGACGGTTCGGAAGATCGCGAATCAGTTACGTTTCTTGAAAATTGGATCCCATTGCTGAAAAATATGGGCATGAAGAAGTTTGATCTCTCCATTCGTGCGAGACATTGTCGGAAATTTACCGATATGCCCTCCGTAGTCTTTGGAGCCGAATCCCTCCAATATTTGCACGTGGCGAAATTCGTGATGCACGAAAGGTCTATTGAAAGGTTAGTACTCTTGAAGCATCTGGACCAACTTCATCTCAAGAAAGTGTACATCGAGGACGCGGTTTTTCAGAGGATAATCTCGAGTTGTCCTTCGATCGAAACTATGATCATCGAAGGATGCAAAGGGTTAAAGAAAATTAATCTGAGTGATCTTCCCAATCTTATCTACTTTAATTTTGACGTATTTTACGGAGATGGGTTGGAGGAGGAGGAACCTTGTAGCATCGAAATCCGTGCACCATCTATTGAAACCATCAATATTACTTACGGCAATATTCGGTTCCGCAAAGGAGCGGAGTTTCGTAATCTCATAAACTTACATCTGAGGGGTGTCGACTCGTCATTGGAACACATGTCGTCGTGTAAATTCCCGATCCTCACCTGGTTGAGCCTTTCGCATTGTCATGGATTGAAAGATATCCAGCTATTCATCGATGCCCCGAGCTTGGTACTTTTTGAATATCAAGGACTCTTTATCCCTTCGATCTCTTTCGGAAAAACTACTTCCAGTTGGCGTTCAGAATTAAACATAAAATATATACAGATAAACGATGGTTATTTGTGGTTCCTCAAGCTGAATGAACTGCTCAACTCAGTAAGCAAATCTAGAATTATCCTGACTATCGATCAGTATTTGATGAATCACGACGACATAATTCGAGGAAACGTTAATATGGTACAATACATGAATGGTTGTGGTATAGCTGTTGTGGTGGATAGATTGAGTTTGAATGCTTCTTTATCTTCCGGTCCGAGTAATTTAAACGGTCTGCTTCGTATTTGTCGTCCGAGAATCCTAATGCATTTGGATATGGAAGTTGTCGAGTGGTTGTGGAAGGTTCTAATGGAGAGAGAGAGTGGAGATGAAGGTGATCGGTTCAGACCGTTGTGGTTGCGAGATTTGGAGCAAGGGAACATGGAAATTAAGGAGACCGGTCGAGAGGAATGGCGTTCGGCAACTCTGTCGGAATTGCGAAAGTGTCGAGAAACGAAATCTTATCATACTCGATTTGCATTGAAATGGAGACAAGTTTTGTGAGTCTTTGATCGTGGTTTTGTAGTTTTTAAAGAATCTCCATTCTCTCCATTAAAATTGTTAGATTCAAATTTAGTTTTTGGAATAGGAATTGAAGTTATTATTACGATTATTTTGTTTTTTTGAGATAAGTTAGAACTTCTCCAGAGGAGCTGAAAGTTATGCAGATATTGATTTTATTGATTTTATGTCATGAATATATATATATGGTCCATTAATAAGCTCATCATGGGATACTTATTTATAATGGGGATAAAAAACTCTTTTACGAAACAGACATTATTCGGAGGTGTGTAAAAGACTAAAATACCCATCACATTTTAATATGCTCCAATTTCATCTTATAATCAATTTAACTTCAATTTGACCCCAAAATTCACAAATTATTTAATTTTGAGTACAATTTCGCCCGTCGCCGCCGTTGACCGCTAGTCTTCGGCGGCAGTCAACGCCGCCGTTGACCATTTTTTTTTGTATTTTTTTTCTTCAACATCTTTTTTTTTTTTTTTTTTAATATGCTCCAATTTTATCATTAAACATCAACTATCTTTCATCATCATGTTTCATCGCATTTTTTTTAAAGCAATAAAATAAGCAAAAATAACTAAGCTAAAATAAAAATTCTAGGGCTTGCAAACTAACAAAAAACTAAAGCACAGAAAAACAAGTAATTTCCACCCCAAAATTAAAATTTACATTGCCCTCAATATAACTCGCACAAAGTTCAAGGATAGAATACACCTTATTAGTCGAAAAGTCCTTCTCTAGGATGCACTATTTGATGTTCGTTTGCTCCACATTTAACGTCCGATCTCTTGGTGTTTGACTTTTGACCTGAAAATTTAACCAGATGAAATTATTAGTTCGCATCCTTACTAAAATCTTAAGAAAATACGAAGAAAAAAACTATAAATGTTCGGGTTGGCTCATGAGAAACGCTAAATTTTTAAGTCTTTAGCCAGACTTTAGTTATTGGAACTGTTATGTCCAATTCAAGGCCTTGTAGATCGCGCATCCATCTTTTGGCTTTACCAATTGGAACTAAGCTTGGATAACATTGCAATATGTCAGGGTCCATCCTACCTTGTAGTCTTTTTCATTTGTAATCAATCGGTACGAAGCCAAGATGAGATATTCGTCACTTGCACCCTCAAATCAGTATAAAAATACATATAGTTCGCGTATAACCTCCACCTTAAACATAGTCACCTTTTCGTCAATAACACTCCCATAGATTGTGCGACTACCGAACTGTCCAACAATAGCAGCAACAATAGTGCTAGAATAACATTCCAGAAGTATTCTACTCCACCGGTGGTATTGAGCGAATTCCAAAGATTTGAGAGCCGCCATAGCCTCAACTGAAATAGGATCAATGAAAGAGGACAAATATGTAGAAAACCAGGCTAAGCAATATCCATGAGAGGTCCGTGCCTAAACCCCTAGTCCGCAGCCATGTTACACCGAAACAAGAGAATTGTCGTAAATAATTTTCACCTCATCTCTTAATGGAAGCTCCCACTTGATACTCGATCTTTGCATCTGTAATAAAGGTTTTGAACAAAGCACTTTAGAAGCAGACCCTCGCACTTCCATAAGAAAATTCTTTGCGAGCAAGATAATGTCAAGAGCTGAATGGTTGGCCTCCTCAAAATATTTCTTGTTTCTTGCATGTCAAATAGCCCAACATACCACTACACAGTATTCAAATTCAGTTTTATCAAGCTTCTTCTTCATTTGCAAGAATCAATCCATAAGTGAGCAATTATTCGGCCAATAGATCGACCATGCCACTCTACTTAATGCCCAAACCGGCCTCGCAAACGAACATAAGGACAAACAATGCAAAACATCCTCCTCTGCAGCCCCACATATTTCCCATGATTTGTTCTCTAAAATCTTCCGATTGGTAAGATTTTGGCGTGTAGAAACAAGATTATTACAGCAATGCTATAAAAATATCTTGATCTTATTCGGCAGATTCAAGTCCCAAAGCCATTTCCAAGAACTCAGCGAAACGAGAGATGAACCACTTGCTATATTAATACCCACTTTTTCTTGCTCTAAATGAACCGCGGTACGGTAGGCGCTTCGAAAGAAGAACATGTCATTCGTATTATAATGCCTTATAAGACGTGCTTAGTGGATAATTATTTTATTAAATCTACGGTTTCAATTCACCCAATATAAATAACCAGGTGTAGCATCTAACTCCACCAACAATAAGTGGGTATGTGCTGATATTACAAGCATAATAAATCATCTGCAAAAACTTATAACCATTGGGGTTTAAGTACTATTTGTACTTTTAAATATTCATGCATCAGTTTGAAACTTTGAATAACTTTGTCATAGCACAAGTGTCGTTGTTAGTGTTACACTATCAAAGCCACGTGAGTTCAAAAACTCCACAAGGAGTGATATGGGTGAACAAATTCTAGTTTTGTTCAACTTTTAATAAATATAAGAGTTAAGGGGCAGAAATACAATATATTTAGAGTCTGGGGGCCTAACAAGGGGCTTTAAACGTTTTCCACAAAATTGGACAATCAGCGCCATTTTCAAGCGACTCATTTCAGAGCGCTCTCTCTCTCTCTCTCTCTCTCATCCATCACGCACACGCAGGCGCGCAAATTCTGATGCAATGACGAGTGCTGCTGATTGATCTGGTAACTCCGAATTTACAATGTAACTCCGAATTGAATTTCGTTACTGATAATCGACTCAGTCAGTCAAATTAGGTGAATTCGATGAAGCAAATATCAAAATGTTTCGAATCTGAAAATCGTTACTGGAATTTTCGCTGATTTTCTATTTCAGTTCATCAATTGCAGAATTTATGTTCAACTGCTCAAGAAGAGGGAAACTGATAGTCTTGGCTTTATTTTTTGGTTCTGTATCCGCCCAATTTCATCACAGGGATGTAATTAATTTTAACCTGGTTTATTTTTTGATTATTCTGAAATGGCAAATTTATAATTTTTCTGGTTTCCAGTTTATCTGAATTTGGATGTTTTATTTATTTATTTATTTATTTATTTATTTATTATTTTTTTGTTTAATAATTTGGATGGATTGTTGTTGTGAAGTGTAATGTGTGTGATTGGCTATATATCGTAGTATATATTCTCTTCTCGATTTCGGCAATTGATCTATTATTTCCTGATAATTAGTTATATGTGATTAAATGACGAACAACCTGATAACGATCTTCATTCCTAAACGAATTTGGCCGTTGCAACAGAAATCTTATTCAGATTATGAGCTATTTGTGTTCAAATAAATCTAGTTCTTTCTGATTTGCCAGATTAAAATTCTTTGGTCCAGTTTACAGTTTATCAGCTTATAGTTTTTCATTTTGAGTACTTTGACTATGTGAATCAAAACATCACTATGTGTTGATTCACTACGTTTGTTGATTCAATACTTTCATGTCAGCATGTTAATTTAAGCATATAACTAAGCCGTGCGACTGTACATACAGCAGATGCATATACTTCCCTATTGATAGTTTAAGATGTGCCGAGTATAGATTGCTTTCTTTCTAAGTGTTTTGTGTTATTTCTTTCGTTATTTGTGTAACGTCATTTTTTTTAGATATCAAGTAGTTTATTTAGTAAGGTATATCTGTTTTTGTTTCTTCATGTGTTTTGAGTTAAAATAAGTAGCCATGCCTTTCTATTAAGAGAAATAATCAATTAATTAATTCCTTTTCTTATTAGTTGCTGTTTGGCGAAAAACTGAACCAAAGTACCTTAGAATTGCGCTCACAAATTTTTCGATTCCGTTGTGTGCTAAATGTAGAATACGATAACATCTGAACACCAAAAGCACAATGAAACTTTTGGTTTCGACTGATTTCTGCTTTTGGTTTAAGGATTTTTCTGAAGGATGATATGATTTTTAGTTCCTTCCTTTCCCCCAGTATTTACGAGTTTCATTCGAAATGGACAATGGCAAAACGCGCTAAATTTTCCGTATGTCTTCTGCACATGTGTCATTTGATCATTAATATGTCAGAAAGAAATCATAAGTACAAATCTATTATCCTAATAACTAAGATATAATTAATATATGCAGGATAGCGAGACCATCGTTGAAGATGGATCCACTGAGGAAGAAAATGAGCTAAGAGCTTCGAATTAGGAACAAGTGGAAATGGAGATTGCTCAGATTCTGGAGAAGATCAATCATTTCACTCAAATGGTAAATATCCAACAACGTTGATACTTGTCCAAATGAAATATTCACTGTACACGATGCATCTTTTCTGAGATAATATTTTTTTGAAACAGTATTTTGTGAAGGTGTCAGAGCTGCTAGAATCAGGGAAGTCAATGCTGATGGAACTGACAAATGAATTTGAAGAAAGGATGATCTTGTAAGTTTTAATTAAAACTGGCATATGTAATAATTACTGGAAACGAGAATCTGCTCTACATACTAACTGTGACTATAATTTGCTGATAGAATACACAAGGAACAGATGAAAAAGTGGCAGGATGAGATTAAGGAGCTTCGCTTACTTGATGCTGCAAATGAGGAGATTGATGCTCTCTTACACAATGCTATCTACTCCAGAACATTCATGGTGGCTAACCGGAAAAACATTTGTAAGTTTTCAGTACATAATTTTTTGGATCTAATATTTAACCACTTGTTGCAGTATAACAGTAGTAATATTAGCATGGCATTAATTCTCAGTACGTTTTGAGCAACTGTTAACTTGTCGAGTGAAAATTTACGCCTTTTGATCTTGGCTCTCGAAGTTGCGGGTTCGGAATTAAGATAAATAAATAAGAAAAACTTAATTTGTTACATGGATCAATTTTAGGTTTTTGTACACGGATTACATCTCTGATACAAAATATCGGGAACTGAATCGCATAAAAACCAAAAATAAATTAGAACAAAATAAATATTATATACCAAAGAATAAGTAATAAATATAAAACATCAATATTTTATTAATAATTGAAAAAAAAATATCATCAATCCCAGTATAGAAAATTATCAAAAAAATAAATAAAAATAAACCAGTATAGAAAAGTGTGTATATATGAAAATAAATCCTAATTAAATATTGGAAGCTAGGTTACATAACAACCCAAGACATCAACCAGTCCCTTTTAACAGGAGGCAGTTTAACAAGTGTTCTGCTTCGATCCTCAATGTCATACACATATAGAATTCCGTCACCCTCTAAGTAATATATTGAGTTTTTCTTAATTCTTATGTCATCGTTTTCATCATCACTACCGTTGTCAGTATTATTAGTGAACAACCATGACTTGCTCCCGTAAGGGTCGAGGAAAATGGTGCGGTCCCCTATACTCTTCAACTCCGTCCACTCTCCTTTATACACATCGATCTTGAAAATATTATAGTGAGATACCTGCATAGATGGATTATTACCGTTTGTGGAACTGTGCACTAGCAATACATCATCGCCCGATGCAACTAGATACTCATTGAACATAAATGAGAATGGTGGTGTTGGCATCGGAATATGACAAGACTGCCCCTTATCATTCACCACTTTCTCGATAACAATCTCTCCCCCGATAAAATCGACTTGTACGAGATTACGACTACACCCTATCCATCCGTAGATTTTTCCTTTATAATGTACGGCCGATGCTAAATTATTGTTTTCATCATCCCCAAACTTGTTTGGCCTCGAGGTGAATTTTTCATCTCCCATGCGATAGTAGTAAAGACGGGTGTCGAACGCGGCAATGAATAGAACATGGCAATTAGGGTGTGTTGGAGGTTCGGAAAAGATGCATGCGTAGTCAAAATAGCTGCTTCGTTCGCGTTTTTGTTTTATTTTTGGGAGATGGATCTCTTGTTTTGTAACGGTGTTCAAGAGAGAGAAAGTTAGTGACGATTTTCGGGGATGAATAAGTGCTAGCCACGATGGGTGTGAAGTGGAAATAGCCTTTTTGGAACGGAACTCAGTGATTTTTGTGTCGACGACGGCTTTGTCTTTTGAGATGCTGTAAAAAGTTTGGTTTTGTAGGTTGCTCCCATGGAATAACAGTAGCCATGGATGAGTTTGATTAGGATCCAATGGAAAAGGAAGACTGGACAATGATTCTTGACTCATTTTGGCTCAAATTGTGTATGTATTATTTCTGCAAAAAAATCACAATATATTTGATTAGCGTTGAGAGTTTATAGATATAGTTAGTATAGATCCAATTTGACATTTTGAATATTTGATTTTGATTTTTTTTTTTTTAAATTCAATCCTTGTTATAAATTGGGGAAATTGAGGAAGTAGTCGAAGCATAGACTAATGACGGTTGGTTAAGTTTGCGGAGATTAGATGCTACACCTGATTATTTTCACTTGGTGACTTTGAACCGTAGATCTACACATAATCACACACACCCATGTGTATGTGTGCTTAGAGGGTAGTTATTTAATCAAATCTACGGTTCAAATCCCTCCGGTGTAAATAACCAGGTGTAGCATCTATCCCCGTTAAGTTCTTCTCAGCAAGGTTAATTTTCTTTAATTATTAATGTCAAGTATCATCAAGTACACTTTACCTATAATTTTTTGTCCTGTGTAGTTACATCTCTAGTGAAAAATTCATCAAAATTTTGAATAACAGAGCAACAATTACCCGAAACATAAAAACACAAATATTCCTTACCATGGCCTCAAATATTAAAGATTAAAGATTATTTTTTTCTTTATCGAATTAGTAAAATAATATGCATCACGAGTTTAAGTAGATGATCATGTAAATTCAAGAGATTGATGATGAACGTACCTTTTCGACCAAGTTCTTGAATACGAAGAAATCTTTGAGGGTGTTTTTGTTTTGAGCAAAGGGATGACCAGCAATTTATAAAGGTTCGAGAAATCTTCTCTACTTTATAATTGACCTATACATACATACATACATACATACATGCATATATATATAGTGATGTTAGAGTTGTATTGGTTTTGGAGATTTGGAGATTTGTTATAATTAGGATTCCAATTAAGATTTGAACCATGCAAGGAATTTCATTCACGACGTTTAGGTATTTTTTTTATTATTACTTAATTAAGAAATTAATCCTTTTTTTGTTTTCCCTTATTCCAATTAGGATTTGAACCGTAGAAGGAATTTAATTCAAGACTCGTACATATTTTCTAATTGCAGCATGATTAGGAAATAAAATCCCTTACGTAATTCAAAACCCTTTTAATTAATACCTTTATAAATATATAGCATCAACTCGTAGCGATGTTTTCTCAAGTTTGGCATACAGAAGAAACCCTCCCTCTAGCTCTTACTTTAGGTTTACAAACAAACATGGTGGAAGAAAGTCTACGTGTCTTGCAACTAGATCCACCGTTCTCCCCCGATCCCATGAATTCTTGTTATTTCGATTCGCCATGTTTAATGTATTCTCAGAGTAGCAATACTTCATGGAAATTTTACAACTCTTTACGCAACGAATTCTGCTATTTGGATCTTCCTGAACTGAAAGATGCCGAGATTCTCTACTCCAAGGATGGTTGGCTTCTCATGTCACAAATTAATAATGGCCCTTTATTTTTCTTCAATCCTTTGACTAGGCAGAAATTTCAACTCCCCCGTACCGAAGAGCCGTTCGACTCGGTGTGTTTCACATCTCCGCCAACTTGCTCCGATTGTTTTGTTTTTGGAATATTCGGGTCAAGTCATTCTGATGAAACTGAATATGGTCTTATTAGATTTGGAGATGAAGAATGGAAAATAGAATTGTATGACGGTTTTATGTATGCAAATTGTCCACCGGTTTTCCACAATGGGTTGTACTATTGTTTGGATGATGAATGGAGGAGCTTTAGAGTTTATGACCCCACTACCGATGGATGGACAATTTGTGGTCACTGCCCTGAAAAAAATAAAGATTGTAACGACGACGAGAAAAACGAAGAAAACAAAGATGAGCCCAAAGACGATGAAGAAGAAGATGAAGAAGAAGAAGATGAAGAAGAAGAAGAAGATGAAGAGGAAGATGATGAAGATGAAGAAGAAGAGGAAGAAATAACTCAAGAGTGTCACGTAGTACAAGTTGATGGAGAAATATTGGGTGTTTTTGTTATGAACAATGACCGGAAAGTTGAAGTTTTAAAATTTGATTTATCCGAAATGTGTTGGAAGAAGGTTGAAAGTTTAGGCGACAAATGTCTCTATGTTAGCCCCAATGGATCGTTTGCGGAGGATTGTGGTGAGGGTAGCGATAAGGCTAATAAGATATACTTCAACAAATTTCATGGCAAAAACGGAGTTTGGTACTCGTTGAGCAGCGGAATGTACCACTCCAATGGGGGAGATTTTGCAAGCAAGGATGCTTATGGGCTCACTCAAGTGGACTATAGCACTTGGATTAAGTCTACCTAATTACACAAATACATTTAGTAATTGGATGGCATGGTCTTGAAGTCTTGTTTTTGGATCCATGTTTAGGGGTTTTTTTTTCTTTTTCTTTTTTTCGGCCTCTAGCTATCTTTGTTTGCCATTTTAGTCCAATGTTTCAATAGTTATAAAACCTATAGCAGTTAGAATTTTTGTGTTTTGTCTTTTTAGTTTCTCAGCATTTCTTTATATATTGATGCATCAGTTTGAAACATTGAATAACTTGGTCATAGCATTAGTGTTGTTGTTAGTCTTCCTCAATAAAAACTGCACAAGGAGTAATATGGATCAATTTTATTTAGTCTTATCAATTATTTGGTTCCGCAAAGGAGCGGAGTTTCGTAACCCCATAAACTTACATCTGAGGGGTGTCGACTCGTCATTGGAACACATGTCTTCGTGTAAATTCCCGTTGAGTCTTTCGTACTGTGAAGGATTGAAATATATCCAGCTATTCATCGATGCCCAGAGCATGGTACTTTTTGAATATCGAGGATCCTTTATTCCTTCGATCTCTTTCAGAAAAACTACTTCCAATTCCCGTCAGTGGCGTTCAGGATTAAACATAAAATATATGCAGATAAACGACGGTTCTTCGTGGTTCCTCAAGTTGAATGAACTTCTCAACTCAGTAAGCAAATCTAGAATTATCCTGTTTATTGATCAGTATTTGATGACTCACGACGACTTAATTCGAGGAAACGTTAATACGATAAAATACCTGAATGGTTGTGGTATAGCTGTTGTGGTGGATAGATTGAGTTTGATGCTTCTTTTCTGCCGGTTCGAGTAATTTAAACGGTCTGCTTCGTATTTGTCGTCCGAGAATTTTAATGCATTTGGATATGGAAGTTGTCGAGTGGTTGTGGAAGGTTCTAATGGAGAGAGAGAGTGGAGACAAAGGTGATTGGTTCAGACCGTTGTGGTTGCGAGATTTGGAGCAAGCGAGCTTGGAAATTCAGGAGCCCGGACGAGAAGAATGGCGTTCGGCAACTCTGTCGGAACTGCGGAAGTGTCGAGAAACAAAATCTTATCATACTCGATTTGCATTGAAATGGAGACAAGCTTTGTGAGTTTTTGATCGTGGTTTTGTTGTTTTTAAGGAATCTCCATTCTCTCGATGAAAATGTTAGATTCAAATTTAGTTTTTGGAATAGGAATTGAAGTTATTATTATTATTATTATTATTATTATTATTATTATTATTATTATTTTTTTAAATAAGTTAGAACTTCTCCAGAGAAGCTGAAAGTTATGCAGATATTGATTTTATGTCATATATATATATATATATATATATATATATATATATATATATATATATATATATATATATATATACAGTGGCGGATCTAGCTATGGTCTAGGGGTGTGCAGTTGCACACCCTTGATTTTAAACAAACTAGTAATTTGACCCGTGCGATGCACGGATTGGAATAAAATTAATGCAGACTAATACTCTATTTATTTAGGAATGCATGTGTTTAAAAGTCAGACCAATTATATGGTAAATAAACTGCTAAAAAAACTGATTAAAATGAGCCCCTACGGCTACCATACTTTCGCCAAAAGTTACAGTTACATAAACAAATCTTATATTAAATACTTGATTAAAAAAAAATATAAAATACCAAGATTAATACGTAAATCTCTTAATGAACTTTTAAAACAATTTCATGAATAGTCAAAATGGAACCATGTATTCTTCACAACACCTACATTAAATTTCATAAATTCATAGACAATTCAAAGTTCTTTATGCATTTTAACCACCCACGAATGTTGCCAAGCTTGGGGATGAGAGAATCAGAGGTACCACAAAAAGTAGACATTCTTTTATGTGGGATAAAATAATTTTATCCCATCTAGTGCAGCAAACAAACACTAAGAGTATGAATCTTATACATAATGTCCCAATCTAAAATTTACTGTATAACCAAAGTTATATATCATCACCATAATATATTAAAGTCAGCAATACTAACAAAACATAATAAGTTTAAAAAGTAAAAGTTATATATCATCACCATAATATACTAAAGTCAGCAATACTAAAAAACATAATAAGTTTAAAAAGTATAATGTAAAAAAATTACTTAGATCAAATTTTAGAACACTTCCTTATAAACGACATTCGTCGTAGTATTTGAAGGGTTTCCATCTTTGTCACATATAAGTATCTTCAATCATTTGCGACTGGTAACTCTTGAGATAGCAACATATAATTGTCCATGCAAAAACACCGGCTTTTGAAGATAAATACCGACATGTTGAAGAGACTGGCCTTGACTTTTATTTATTGCAATTGCAAACGAAAGCATGATAGGAAACTGGCGACGTTGAAATTTAAAGGAATTCTGCTATCGGATGGCGGCAGAGTGAGTCGTGGAATAAAAACCTTATGACCAATGTTGGTGCCTGATATAATTTTTGCTTTCAAGACTCGCTTTCCTAATCGGTGATTGACAGTCGGGTTGCCATTGCACAAACCTGACGATTGGTCTATGTTTCTCAGCAACATGACTGGAACATCAACTTTAAGCTTTAACTCATGATTTGGAACAGTTAAATATATTTACTTGTCCTTGTAGTCCAACACTTCCTTCAAATCCGGATTGATCAAAAAGTTTGACACACTCAGAGCATTCGATAAACCTTTTTTTCCTAATTTTTATGTGAGTGTGAAATAATCAATAATATAATCTTACAAAATAAAATAAAAAAACATTATGGCTGATCTAGGATTGAGGGTTAAAAAATACCTAAATAAGTCTTGGTCCTAAAAAATTGAAGAATGACCACAATAGGTCCATTGTGATCATCTTTGAGAAGATATTCATCCATTATTTCGGCAAAAGCTTCCCACAAAGTGCATCTAACAGTATATTTCCTGAAAAGTAAGTAAATTGTTATGAATAACATTAAGAGATCATCACACAACGATCTATATTTTAAAATTGTAATATTTTAAATACTCTAAATCTTGGACGACAATCTCCAAAAGCTTGATTTTCTTGTCCTGTTCCTTTTTATTGATCTCCTTTATAGGGTATTTCTCAGCCACGTGGCCAATTATATCTGCAACATTAAATAAATTAGCAAATCAAAGGAAAACACATCAACATTTAATGATATAATCAATATAAAATTAGTAGACTAATATGAGTAGTTACATAACCAAACAGTAAGCTCTCATCCACGTTTTGTTTGATTGTGTCAAACGTAGCAAACTGAAAATAGGTTGATGGAATCTTATCGGCTGATGTTTGGATAACTTTTGTGCATCCCACAAAGTTCAGTCTAAACTTATGTGTTATTGCTCTGAAGCCACCATTTGAATCAACCACAAAAAAATTTCGGAAAATATAGTTGGTGCCTTCTTTTATCAACTCTTGAAATGTCAGAAGGATAATTATGTTTTGAATACTCGAAACATAAATATATAAAAAATAAACATAATAAAAAATATAAAAGCACAATCACCTCCTCGTCAATAAAAACCATTTCAATGCCAACATTCTCTTTCAGATTCCACTTATCTGGTACGAACCACTGACGTATGACCCGAACCAATATTTTTCAATCGGTCATTTTGCCCGAAACAATTTCGAGAAAGAAGGACGTGCTCGTAACCATGTTTGCTATTTCTAATAAAGAACACAAAAAAATATTACAAAAAAGAATTAAATTATTATAAAGAACACAAAAAAATATAAAAAAAGGAATTAAATTATGATAAAGTACACAAAAAATATTAAAAAAAAAAGGAATTAATGTAATACTTTGGAAGAATCAGACAAAGAAAGAGGAATTGTACATTAATCCGGAAAAAAATATATAAAAAAAAAGAATTGTATTCTGATAAAGAACACAAAAAAAATGTTAAAAAAATATTGTATCTAAATTATCCGACGAATGGAGATGATATCTAGCGCAGTGGAACGATCTCTTCCCCTATTGTTTTTAGAAATGGAGAAAAATGAAAAAACTGAACAAATTAAATGATACATTTTTTTGGAAAACTCCAGATATATAAACATTAACACATTCAACATATCCCGTTTCGACAAATCACACAAAACTGAGAAATAACGAATGAAATTTATCGGATCGAATTAAATCCAGAAAATTTGAAATTGAAGAGATTCCAAAAAAAAAAAAAAAGAGGTTGTAGGTTGATGAACAAACTTACATGTTGACTAATGGAGTTATTTTTGCAAAGAGAAAGATAAATATTAGACAACGTAAAGTTTAGAACTAATTAAATGAAAATTGAAATAATAATATAATAAAAGTAAGAAATAAACAATAAAAGTAAAAAAATAATTAAATGACAAAAAATAAAAGTAAAAAATAATTAAATAACAAATATAATCATAAAATGAGCGGGAAAAAAACCCTAGGGTTTCACCATAACAACCTTACTTTTATTAATAAGATAATACCGTTATACATAAGTTGACAAGAAAAGCGGAAGGATGCCGCTGAACAGAATGGAAGACTTGGTTGAGTTGGTAAAGATGTTCCTTCTTTTGTTAATTGGTCCGGGTTCGAACCCCAGCCTCTAATAAGTTGATTTTTTTTCAAATCTTTACATTAAATTTTTGGTCCACTATTTTTATAAAGTGATAATTAAATTTTTTATTCTACAATTTAGCACCCCCTTGGCAAAAATCCTAGATCCGCCACTATATATATATATATATATATATATATATATATATATATATATATATATATATATATATATATATATATATGGTGCATTAATAAGCTTATCATAGGATACTTATTCATAAAGGTGGACAATTTTTTTTTTTATAAAACAATCCAGATATTATTCAAAGATGTGTAAAAGATCAAAACACCCTTCACATTTAATATGCTCAAATTTCATCTTATAATTCAATTTAACCTCAATTTGACCTCAAATTTCACAAATTATTTAATTTTGAGTACAATTTCGCCAGTCGTCATCATTGACC